ATATGTCAGCCACCGCAGGGGTAAGTATGCTCTTTTTCAGCTCCTTACTTCTTACCCAACTACAGGTTGAAAAATTAAGTCCAGTACCAAAACAATTGACAAACAACATGTATTTTTTCAGATACATGCTCACACAGAATAATTAATTTGCATGTATCTGAATGGCTGAGTATATTATGTTTTCTTGCTTGATTTGTGTGAATAACTCACTCAATTTGCATGTCATATACATCACATCTTTAGGCGAGCCCAAACATGTGAAGAAATGCAAGAAAGAAAGGGTTCCATTCCCGTCTCGATATCAATAACAAGTTGTATCCTATAGCTGAGGAAGTTGCGTACCATCATGGTCTATTAGTCCTCAGTTTTTCCCGATGGATGAACCTCCTCCAGTCTGTTGTTGACAAATGTTGCCGGGGAATCTCCGTGCTGATTGGCTGTAGTGGCGCAAATGATTCCCTTTAGTTCAGATTGTTTTGTGTGAATAAGGTAATGAAGCTAATAAAGCGAGATGCACGTTGCAAATTTACATTATTTGCACATATAATTCGCACAATTTGTGCTACTTGTGCCGCCTCATTGGTATGATTTGCATTGCCTGACTAGAACTCTAATCATGTCTTTAAATTGACTTAACTTAAGCAAATGCAAATGATTAAATTTGCTTACAGAGTGAGTATGACACTATTCTGTCAAGGTTTTTTCTTTACCACCTGGCTATCTAGAAGTTAATGCAATCCAGGCTCTAAGGTTGAAGACCAAAGCTAGCCTACGGTGTAATTGGAGACCCATTTTAATATCCACCTCTACTTTGCACACGTATCCTTACCTGCCCTGTTTGACGTGACCTCTACACACAATCACAGTCTGATCCACAACAACATCAGTGACATGAGCTTTATCACTGACTTAAGGACTTTTGGCTTTGGTCCAGTAAGTGTGCTTAGTTCAGCAGAATTAGTGGTCAAATGAGGACTCAGATATGAAAAAGACATTATTTTATGCTCAGGTTTTCTCCAGCTCACAACTGAAAAGACAACTGAAGATGTATAACTGTTCAGTTTTTATGTATTAGTCATTTATTTAGAAATAGTGTATATAGTAGGGTGAGAAAAACTTCCTGTTTTCACATCCTGTCCTGGATGTCCTGGTTGTTTTTTATTAATTGTTGAAAATGGCCTGGTTTTCATAGTTTTTTATTGGGCCTCTAGGATGAAGGAGAAAACTCAAGATATAGATATGTTTTGTTAGTAGTTTTTGTAAGTTTGTGAGAGCTATTTTTGTTCCAGTTGGATTGCTAATTAAAGCAGAGGTATTTATTTATTTATTTATTTATATAATTTTTTTCTAAAACAGAAAAGACATTTTATTATTTAATTTCTTACTGATGAATCTTTTCATAATAAAACCTGTTGAGTAGCCTTTGAGAAGCCTGTCTGAGTTTGTGTCTTTAGCTATAGATAGTTTTTGATCATATTACAATTTTCTGTCCATACACAGGAGGCATACTTTAAATGTATTAAAATTATAAGGCATCTTTGAGTAAACTTCAAGTATCATTTGAGTATCTCTTTGGCAGTCCAAGTGTCCTGGTTTTCGGTAATCAAAATATGGTCACCCAAATATATAGCATTTTTGTATGTAAAATACAGAGTACATATGCATTTCTCATCTCTTCGCTGGATATGTAAATAACCTTATATCATGCTATTCTTTCTATTTTTTGTGTAAGATTATTCCTCCAGTAGGAGTTATTTTAAAAACCCTACAGCATGTAAGATCACATGAGATCACATACCTGCATTTAAGAGATTCTGTGCATTAGTGCATTAGGAGAAAAGTAGATCCAGTACACAACCGCTAATTTTCTGTGAGTTGACAAACTGTCTGGTCTGAACACAAGTGGACCCTTTCTTCATGCTTTCAAGGCCGTTCATCACAACACTCCAGGGTGGCAAAACAGATAAATTATGCAGCACAGATCAGGGTTAAGATGTTTACTTTTTTGCTGCTCGTTTTGTTTTTATACTCATTTAATTTTTGATCCGTTTACTTGACCTAGAAGATTCTTGGTTGTTAGAGATTAAGTACATACATACAAAATAGAAGGCCTTGAGTGATAGAGAATATCAAACACAGACCAAGATACTCTTTGAATAAACAAATACGTTTTAAAACAGATTTTCTTTGTTAAGCTATAATTAAATAAAATTTATGAGCGGGCCCCCATTTTCCCTCTTTTGAAATCTGACAAGCCAAAACCAAGCATAGCTCTACTCCCAATAAAGTCACCACCGCCATTAGCAGCAGTTAGTGGTCGGGCGAGTCCTCACTAGAGGAAATCTGTTTCCAGCATCACAATTTTATGACACGTGATAAATTTGGTTTATATTGAATCACAACAGCCATTTCAGCCACATTATTATCACAGCAGTCTACTTTTCAAGAACTGAAAACTTTCAAGCTTTCCATCACAAGTTTCAGCCTGCCAAAATAAAATTAAAAAAAGAAGCTTCCTATGTTCTAAACATTTTAAAAAACCAGTCAGACTGACTGACAGTAAGTTTAGTTCATCAGGAAATCCTCCTGTTCTATCACGTCTGACCTATTTTCTAAGATTTTCTCAGGTTCAGTCCTTCTGCCTTGCAGGACTGTGCTTATTGGCTTCCCTGAGAAGCCTGAAAACCTCTGCTTTAAACAAACAAGAAGAAACTTGTTAAAGAGCCTCAGAGGGGCTGGTTTCAGCTTTTTGTTACCTCTTTAACTCAGAGACAGAGACAAGTCTGTTTCCTGTGTTTTTCCAGGGTATGTGCTAAGCTAACCAGCTGCTCATGATATCTTCTCATTGCAGTAAAAACACCATTGATATCGGAGAAATATTTATCTTAAATTCTACAACTCTTACAGCTTTATTTCATACTCAAAATACATCATCTGCCCCAGCCATTAACATTTGGACAACGTCTGTGTTGATAGACATCTAGATGAACATTCACAGCATCTATAGTTGTAATCTACAATAAACATGTTTAATCTCATATGATGGTTCAGTTTGCACTCAAAAAAACTTTTTTGATAAGGTAGCTTCAAGAGCTTTGAACAGTCAAAAATAACATTATTTCCAATAGTTTAAAAATACAGGCCTCCATGCTTTGAGCCTTGATTGTGCTGTTACTACCACTTAAAGATCTGAGATTTCCTGGGGTTGGAAAAAAGACTGAAATAAATACTGACATCTCTTAATGAACCAAAAAGAAAAAAAAAGACTATCCAGAGACTACTTTTATGTAGTTGTTTTTAAAATGGGATTTAACATTGTTTTATATGCTATTGTACTGTATCATATTATACTGTATTGTGATATACTGTATCATATCTAACATATAACATACTGTATCACACTATCTTCTATCATATCATACTGTATCATACTACATCATACTGTATCATATAATTTCAAACTGTATCATATTGTATCGTATCATATTGTACTGTATCGTATCATATACTGTATCATACTGTATTGTATCGTTATTTATCATATCATACTATATCATATTGTATCGTATAATTTCAAACTGTATCATATTGTATCCTACTGTATCGTATCATATCATACTGTATCGTATCGTATTTTTTCGTATCATGCTGTATTTCATCATATCATACTATATCATATTTTACTGTCTAATATAGCCTGTACTGTATCATTTCATACCATACTGGGTCATACTGTATCGTATCATATCATACTATATCATATCTTTATCGTATCATACTGTATTGTATCATAACATACTGTATTATATCGTACTGATTCATATTGTAACCTACTGTATCGCATCATATACTGCATCGTATCATATCATACTGTATTATTTTGTACTGTTTCATATTGCCTGTTCCGTATCATATCTTATCATACTGTATTGTACTGTATCGTATCATATCATGTGTTGCATTGTATCATATTGTATTGTGTCGCATCATGACATGCGTATAATTGTAGGTGATTTGTAGCTTGTTTTTTCTGTCCTCTTTTTGTTAATCTGTATTTAAGTTATCACTCACTCTCTCAATGTGTGTGGTTTCTCTTTAAACAGAAGATCTCACCTCTCTTCATGTTACACACTGACAGATCTCCACACGGGAATGTTAATGACACAGATCGCTGCAGCTAATTGGTCTGTGTGTGTCTCTGTGTGTGTGAGTGTCTGTTCAGGACGTATGAATAAGTGAGACCGTCGAAACATGGTTAACTAATGTGGCGTCTTTGTTGACTCAACTTGAATAAGGTCCTGAACTGTGTGAGAGAGAGGATTGTCGGACACTGCGAACACTGTTACGTGCAATCCGCTTTACATCCTCATCTCCATAAATGAATCGAAACAACATTTTGTCATGCTAATTATAAAGTGAAGCACATCTTTTCTTCAGACCAGTCCCTTTACATCCCTTTACATTTTTTCCTGCCAGCCCCTTTCTGTTGCTCTCAGCGTTAAGCCACATCTATATCTTCAAAGAGGAACAAAAAGACCCTTCAACACATGATCAAGACTGACCAGCCAACCGCTTTCAGACTTGTGAGAGGATTAAAGACACTTTCAAACCAAAAACAAAACGTCCACATCTTAGCCTGAGATGTGACAGACATGTGGGATGAAAGCATGGGCAGCGCTCTGAGAGGAACTCTTGGCCGGGGAAGCAGAGGGAAACTAGGACAGAGAGGCCAGAGGGGTTGTGTGGCCTTCTCCCCTACGTCCACTCAAAGAGATGATTTTTATGTTGGTATTGACAGGCCCAGAATGGATTTTTCTGCACTCACAAAGGGTTTGATACAAAATGGGGTGCTGCAAAGCCCTGTTGTTACATTTGTGCCCACTGAGAGATGAGTTCTGGTTTGGAGAAAGCATTGAACAAGCACAGAACTGAAACTACAACCACAGGAGACGGATAAATATGTCATTTTAAATCTGAATGTAACACAGTTTCTATAAACAGTGATCTCTGTCCATTCTGCACCGTCAATCTGACAGAAAAACAGCTAAATGTCATTTTTATTCTCTTCGCAGAGGCAAAAACAAAATAAAAATCTTTCAAAATCACCTGGAAAAGAAAAGACCAATCTTAACAAGTCGTTCTGAGCTGAGGTAAGTGTTAATAGAAAGTCTGTTGACTCTTTGTAATATAATGAACAATAATTGGACACACAATGTTGTTTCACTGACAGTTTTCCAATATTGACAACTGAACAGGAAAAGAGGTGATTGGATCTCATCACATGGATGTTATCTGGTAATGAGTTGACTTATTTCTGCTGCACAGAGGCGTGGATCAATGAGTAGTCACAGAGAGATTTGAAGATGGCAGAAAGGTTCGATCTTACTGTTACAACCACATAGCAACAGTATCTAAGCAGATGTTTTTTGTTTTCTAATCAGTTTCATAAAACGAGATTTTGACAATTGTTTCCTTCTCTATTTGTACTTTCTTTGAACTTGGAAGATGAAGATGTATGTTTTGATTTACAGGGTACTGCAGCTTTGATCTTGAGTGGGGTACAAGTAATAGTACCCCAAAAGCCTGAAGTCTGAATACTTCTGGAAAGGAACAGACAAGATGGGATGAGCTTGTTGAAGAGGAAGGATACCAGTGTCTGATGGCTCATTCTCAGTGGTTTGATGTTACTTTTAGTGTATCTTCCCTTCAACCAAAGAAGACAAAATACTGACTGTTCGTTGAGTTAGAGTGGAGAGTTATTCTGTGTCTTCCCTTGAAGCTTGGTTCATCTTAATGACCGCCACAGAAGTTGAACAACAGACCTCCGTCAGCGGACTTCAGCCGCCAAAATGCTGCTTGTGAAGTGCTCGAGTGTTGGACCGTTGAAAAGCTTCGGAAACCTCCTCTCCGCTCGCTATTATGATGTCAGATTAGGGAGGGACTGTGTCCGACAACTTTCTGAGGGAGCTTTTCTGGCGTTCACGCCCACTTCACACCACGATTGTTCAGCTGTGCAGAGGTGAGCCAGGGGTTCAACTTCATTTGTCATCATTTTTCATCCCGACACAGCTATATCCGGCACTTTTCATGGGAAAAACAAACTGTGAGACTCGTAACGCCCTTCGGAACAGGGAGCCTTAAAACGTTCAGTTTTATCGAAGAAATCTCATGTTTGACCAACATCTGCCTTGGACTTGGTTTGTTCAGTCTAATCAGCTGACTTTCTTCTACTTGAAGGTTCAAGGTAAATAATCATAAATGTGAAATAATAAGGGCTTTGGGTCCCGAAAAGTTTGTTGACTCCTTAAACCGGGCTCAGGTCCACTTCCTTTAATCACATCCATTAAAATAAAAACCAGGAGGATTAATCTAAGCTCACCTCTATAGAAAATCTGGCAATTTAAGCAACAACAGTATGAAACAGAGAGGGGAGAGCGTTATAAATTGGTTTCTTACCCCCTGTAGCAAAAGATGCTCACAGATGGCCTGCTATGAAACATGAAAAACAACCTAACTCAGATACCTTCTCTCAAGTTCTGAGGACAGGTACACATTTTACCCCCGGCTAAGGTAGAAAAAGTGGTTTTAACTCTGATCACAGCTGTTTGTTCATTAAACCGGATCTTTATTGGATTACTGGGCCCAGAGCGCTCTCTTATACTTTGAAGAAATATGCCTTTGTAAGTCGTATCTAACTAGAAAAATAAAGAGAAAAGAAATTTTATCACAGTATCTTTCTGTAGTCGCATCAGTTTAACTCCACACAGCACTGAAAAGGAACAAAAGTTGAATTTGTAATCTCATTACAGCTCCAAACTTCCTAAATGAAGCCTTCAGTTCAGCCACAACAATACCACGTATCCACTGCATTGTTGCCTATCAGAAGTCAAACGGAGGCTTTCTAAAGAGAGACAATAGGCCTGCCAATAGAAAGCGGTCATTCTGCGGTCTTGAAGGAGGCCCTGTGTTACCGCGTCTAGTTTTGTGAGGCCTGTCTTGAGCTCAATTCACAGAGTCTGAAGGTCTTTCATCTCCCTGGGCCCATCACTCTAAGCTGGGAAACAGGAGCTAAGGGACCTTCAACTCGCGGTACCCAGGCCCGGCTCCCCTGCCCTCAGACCCCTCCTACTCCTGCCGTACTGGCGCTCTCAAAGGAGTCTTTCAGTATTGTGTTGAGGCCCAGTTCCAGGTCAATGGGAACTCAGAGATTTAGAGCTGCAGTCTGAGAGGGAACAAATGGTTTGTTTGGTGAGGGGTCTGAAGTAGCTTAAGAACCTCCATCAGACCGAAGGTATTACTGACTTAAATCTTTGGTACAACTGCAGCAGGACTAATATGACTGTGATGACAGAGGTGCCCGGTGCTTGCTTTAAATCCAGCCGCGTAGTCTCAGAAGAAGGTCCTCAGACAAAAGTTCATGTAATGTTTTATTTTCTATTGATATCACAAAACTTATCCAACACGTCCCAACAAAATGCCACCAAATGTCCGAGATAAATTAAAGCCGCTGACACCTGCTGTGGCATTTTCAGAAACACAATTATACTGACCTGCAAGGGAGTGACATTTAAGAAAAACACATTTTCACCTATCAGTGGAATTACTGCAGCAAATCAGATTTAAGAGACATGAATATACCCAGCATCGAGTAAAGAAACCAATTAAATCACCACATGCTCCATCAGTCAGGCTGGATTGGGGCAAGCTCGCCAGTTTGTTCATGTTTTGCCTCAAAGTAACACTTCTGCGTGAAGAAGGTTGTCTCCTCGTGCAGGGTGAGCTTTGTCTGGTGCCCCACCTGCCCTGAGTGGCGGCTCTGCTTCATTTGGGACACATCACCCCTGTACTCTGTCTCTACAGCTGTCTCTGTTCGGGCCTTTGTGTGAGTCCCAGCCGCTGATTGGGCTGTATAATGTGACTGATGTCCTCTGGGCAATCTGCTGTTGGGACAAGGACGTGCTCAGGTGATCCAGAGGCTGATTGGAGCCTGGCTAATGGAGAGGACACTGTGACCTCAGGGGCTGTCAGGTGCCAAACCTGCCTGTTAATTATGCATCAGGACCCTCGTCTGCTGCTGGAAACGGGCTGCCACCGCCTGTGTGGCGTCTAGACATGTAGACCCCTAAAATCCAGCAGCCTCAGAAGCGAACAGTTGTTTATTTGTGCGTGTGCATGTGTATGTGACAGTCTGAACCATCTGCTCTGAGGATGAACTGTCTCTGTGCTCTATGTGAACATCAGAGGAGGGGATACTTCACCACTGCTCATAGGTGTGTGAAATACCCACATTTCCCCCAGTTAGGATTTCATGGTCCAGCTGTGATGGAAAAACCAGCAGAACATTTTCTGTCCGCCACTGTCATCCTTTCACTTTCTGTCTGTCTTTCTTTCTTTTTCATCCTCCTTCTTCCTCCCTTTATTCTTTTCGACTCTTCTACTTTGTCTAGGTTTCACCCATGCCCACTTTTCTTCCTTCCTTCTATCCTCCTTTCATCCTTCCTGCCTTCATTTCATCTGTCCTTCCTTTTCCCCTAAAGTTCTACTTTACTTCCTTCTTTTCTACTTTCCTCCCTGTCTTCCTTCCTTCCTTCTTTTCTACTTTCCTTCCTTTCTTCCTTCCTTCCTTCACTTGTACCCTTTTTTAATGCCTTCCATCATCTCTACTCCCTTCCTTTCCTCCTTCCTTCTTTTATTTCCTTCCTTCCTACCTGTCCGTATTTCCTCTTTTCTGTCTTCCTTCTTTATTTTGCCTGCTATTCTTTCTCCCTATCCCTCTTTTCATAATTAATTTTTCTGTTTTCAACCTTCCTGTGACTTTATTCCCTTTTATTTTCTTATTCCTTTTATTAATTTGTTTTACATTTTCTCTTCCTCTATTCTTTTTATTTATTTTCCCTCATTCTTCCTTTCTTCCTCCTTTCCTTTTTTTTAAAAATTATTTTTCCTTCTTTCCTTTTTCCTTCCTTTCTGTCTTCCTTTTCCCCCCCTTTGTTCCCTTCTTTTATTCTCCCTGTGGTTTTTGGCTTTTACGTTTTCCTTTTAGCACACGCTGTGAATTCATGTATGTTGACCTCTGAGGCATTGCCTTTCACTCTTTCACCCTTGTTTGGAGGAGTAAGCAAATATTGATGTTTTGACTGCTTTATCTCCTCCTCCGCGCTCACCACCTTCTCCTCATGATCCCCCCTCATCCCTCTTTAATTGGTCTTCTGTATGCCTGATCTCCCCCACCCCCTTTGTCTCAGCTCTGTCCTACATCTCCTTGTTTGTTTTAGCCTAAGATGGTCTGGTAGATAGGCTAATTTTTCACTCCTTTATCATGACTGTATCAGACAGGAGCCAAAGGAGCTGTGCTCTGCTGTGTTAGGTGTAGTGCACTGAAGGTGTGTGTTTCTGTGTTTTTGTGTGTGGCCTATTTGGTTATAGTAGTGTTAGAGGCGCTGCCTGCCAACACTATTTCTTTTGGACAAACAAAAGCCTCATTTTGGAAGAGCTACGTTTATTGTTCACGCTGACACTGCTTTTATGACAGAATGACTAATGAGTCTACTCCAGTCTGTGTCTATGACTGTGTGTAGCACAGACACTATCAAAAACAGGAGTAACTGGCAGCTTTCTGAGATCCTGGCAAAGTGAAATGCACGTTTTGAAAAGGGTGATGTCTAAAATGGAGGGTAACACAAGGACACCGTGTAGACTGAATACCTCAGTCCTTTGTGAATCTTTCTCAGGGAAAGTTACAGATTATTCTTTCAAAAACTAATCAACGAGAGCTCACAACATCATTTGCTGAAAGTGCAAAGCTGCATGCTGAATAGTACATCCATCCACCTTCCTTTATTTATCTCATCATGATGCAAGAGGTCATCAGAGGTACAAAATCAGGAACATGACCCCCATAAGACCCCACAAATTTGTTCATAGAGCTGATCAGCATTTCCTCGAGGCACTCTTTCTCTCTCTGATCCTGACTTTGCAGAAGTTACACATAATGCAACCTTTGTTTTCCTGTCATGATCAGCACCAATCAGGAGGGTTTGGGGCCTACTTGGATGTTACATAGAGTGTTTAATAGATCATCAGTAATAGAGTGGGATCTTATCTGGACCCACGTGACCACATCATGACACATTCAGGTCCAGAACAGGATCAAACGGTCCTGTTAACCTGTGAACACTCCAACATGGTGCTAGTAGACTAAGCAGTTTTAGTCTCTGTCCTCCAGCACTTTTTTATTCCCAGAGCTTCCCATGACAGTGGAGATATATTACCCCTTCAGTAAGTAAGGTGCACCCAGGAGTCTCCTGTCAGTTGGACCAACCAGGAAAACCACTGAAACAGTGCACCCAAAAGACATCCTGATCTGATGCCTGAGCCAAACCTCCCGCCTCATTTTAATGGCAACGAGCAGGCTCTTTACTCCAAGCTCCCTATACACGTTCAATACCATTCCCCTCCCCCTAAAGCTGAGCCCAGCCACCATAAAAAAGCCAACCCTTACAGTCCATCATCATGTATTTGTGACTGAAATTTAAAACATAGATTAAAGCTCATATGAGGAACTTCTGGTTTGTGTCTAGTTTGGCAGCCCTAGTGGACAAAGCCATATTTGCTGATCTTGTCTTTTACATGCTGAAGTAGTGTCTCTTAATAAAAGACATTTTTGACATTTAAAGTATCGTATATTGTGAATATTTCATGTGGAATTAGTAAAAACACGTCTGTTTCTTCAGCTGCTCCCTCTCTTCGAACTGGTTTCAGGCACTAAAAATAATCATAAAAATGATCAGTCTGGTCTCTGATGGTCTTGTTTGCAACTGGATATCATAAAAAAGGCATCAATGTGAATTTCAGTCCATTTCATTGAGGTAAAAAAATATCCTTCATAGTAGCTTTAAGTGAATTAGAAAAAAAAGGACAGCAAATTAACTTTTTCCTTTGAAGAGTTTTGATCAGTTATGAAACAGACTTGTATGAACACTGATGGGTCTCTCTAATGTACAAAAACAAATGAGACCACTGACAACAGGTCTGATGTTTTCTATATCGTTGTTTTTAATGCCTGTAACAGCTGCGAGGG